AACTAGGATGACGTCAAAGAAAAACTATTCCACATTGTGTTCGACCTAGTCAAAATATGCTGCTACAGGAACAAAGAAGGTCAAAGAAGTCTGCTATGACTTGATAAAGCAGTTTAAATAAAAAGTAAATTACACAAATAACTCTCAGATCTTTATATCAATAAAGTTTTTGAACTTTTTTTTTATTTTATTGTGTCAATTGATCCCCTTACTCCCTAATTGTGGTAATTAAACCATTCTGCCTGTTTCCATTAAATTTTCTAACGAAAAAAGACAAACTATACCACTTATGTTACACAAATGATTGGAGTAAATTACATATATGATCCTTAAATTATGACTTATGTCAATTAAGTCTTTGAATTTTTTATACGTTAATTGAGCCCCTAAACTCTTTAATTATATTAATTAATCCATTTTATATTTTTGTGTTATATAGTCATACTAGTGACACAATCTAATATATTTTTGGGTTATATAGTCACATTAGTGACACACTCTAATGAAGGTAGACTAAATGACTCAATTAATGCAATTAAAGAATTCATAGACTTAATTGATACAAAAATTATAGTTTGAAAATCATATGTATAAGTTTCTCTTAAATAAAACACTAAAGACTATGGCAAAATCGTGCTTGGCCTATACTAATACTATTGGAAGAATTCAACCGATAATAAATAACTAATTATTAGGAGGTTGGTTTAATCTCCAACAATCAACGAGATAAATAGTAATCAAACAAATAGTGCACGGATTTAAGTAGCTTGACAAAATTCTATTTACGTCTTCTCCTTGGTTTTATATGAGATTTTTGGTGGCTCGGACCTAGGCTCAATAGAATTTAAAAAAAATTCACTCGTTAATTTGTTTTTGGATTAAGTCAAAACAATGATTATAACAAACACTTTTTAAAATTATAAAAAATAACAACAATTTTATCACGTAATTAAAAATCATATTCTAAAAATCTACGTCATCATAATATACATTTTTCTCTAAAAATATAAATCATCAGATAAGTACACTAAAAAAATGACATGTTTCAGATTAACGTAACCATTTATCGGAGGTGTGAAGATACATTAAATTACATTTACTAATAACGTCTGTACTTAATATTTCTCTCCCACAGATACACTGAAATGAGACATATCTATCCTTAACAAAACTAATAATGGAATATGAAAAGTAATCACGTCACAAAAAATACTCATGATTACACACAAAGCAAACTGCACACCAGGTACGTAATTAACATATACATTTTAAACATAGGTACAAAACAATACCATATAAGGTGAACAATATACACGATCAGTAATGTACATTATATAAATATATGCATCCACAAAATATGTACATTATTATTTAATTAAAAAAAAGATACATATACACCATTACAGATATATAAGTACATACAACTTAACTGCTATGATCAAATTTATGTACCTACCAAGTCTATGCTTAGGATACATCACCAGTTTATTTCAAATTGTTTGGTTCAGAAATTTGAAATTCACAATTGACGTACAAATATTACAAAATCCTCAATAGAAAAATGCATAAAAAAGAAAGTAACTGAAATATAGGCTGAAATCATGTAATGAGAGTAAGACAGATAACCAAAACACATTAGCTATTCAACCGCGCTCCATTAGCGCCTAACTAGGGACTTTTTTAAAATGTTGGAGAATCTTTTTTCTATATTGAAAATCCTGCAAGATTAAAATTAATTTACACACCAAATGAAGAACCCTAACCTGATTAACTATTTTTTATATTAGGGGTGCAGCTTGAGTAGATTGAGAGATCAATTCTAGTCCAATCGTAAGTATCAAATCTTTAACTATAATTTTAATTCTAACTAGATCTCAACCAGAGATGTTGCCCGATTTAATTTTGAATAAGCTTAGGAGGAGAGTATACAATGAAAGAATCGTCAACTGTTCGGTGACCGAATTCAAGTGGTTTTTATTGCTTTCTCTTCTCTCCAACACTCTTGGATTGATCATCTTGTTGCAACAAAGCAAGCTTAGGAATGAATCTAATAAAAATTTTGGTCTGGTCCACAATTGTTTTCTCGGTATTTTCCAAATCAAAGAGCTTTTCCACTTTCTCGTATGTTACTGTCGAACAAATTGGTAGTTTACCACTAGAAGTTTCCTCGCCAAATTATGTTTTATTCATTCTCCAGAAAGTATCTAAAATCTTCGGTTGAATTTGAGTAAGTTAATTCGGGTTTACTTTGGGCTAATTTCGGGTTCATCCACTTCCATGATCTGTCCACCTCAAACCACCGCCACTCAAATCACACAAACTACCATTACTCTCACAGTTCACAACCCAATAACAACAAATCACAACCCAACCCGACAACAAACCCCCAAACTTTCTTTCTTTCTTTGTTTTCAACTTCTCAACCCCGTCAACAATGGAGCCTCACATTACTCACTACCGAAGAGAAGATGGAGATGGAGATGGAGAGAGCCACATCTATGTCTTCGGTCGAGATACTGAGTTCATCCACATCTATGTCTTCAGTTGAGATGGTGAGGCAGCAACACAAACATCGGTTGCATTTAAATATAAGATTAGGTTTGGTAAGTTGAATTCTCAATTTATAATTGTTTTGTTTTTTAAATGATTATAAATGTTAGACAACTCAATCAACATATTCTCCAATACCAAATAATTTCATTAATTCACACCTACTTGCTTCTTATTTTCTTTATATCCACTTTAATTTTAAATACATAATTAAATAAAATGAAAGTAAAAATACATTGTATTTAAAATATAAATATTACACGATCAATGTTTAATCTATAATATAAAATAGAACAGACTTCAATAAGTCTATCTGATTGTCTCATCCAAGGACTATCAATATTTCTTTCAAAATCATTATATTGCGTTACGCCTTCGGGCATGAGTTACTTTTAATTTTTTATATTACAAAATATCTTATGACACTAATTATCGTTATATTGCTTTATGCCTTCAGGCATGAATTATTGCTTCTTTTTTTTTAAATACTAATTATTACCCAGAATGGGTGTTGACAAGATTGCATGACCAAGTCTCTATTTGTCAGCTTCACCTGGTATTGAAAGAAACTGAAAAACCCGAAGGCACAACCACAACACGGCAACTTTAAGAATTGCTGTCAATCCGATTCTTGTGTTAGTGACTGGTCTGATATTTGACTATTTCAATCCTTGGAAATTCATGCATCCAGTTCCGCTAGAAGCTCAAGACATAATTTCATAAATATGGTCTGATATTTTGGTGCTATGACCTTATTTGTCAAAAAATATCTTTGATTCCTTTCGGAGGTAAAGCTGTGAGGTTAACTTTTCATGTTGTACAATCTCGTATTTGGTCTAGACCTTGTCAATAGTTAGCTAAGATTGAAGGCAAACTTTGGAAGAGTGTTGTGTTCTTAATCTATATTTAGCGTCGAAAATTTCCTTGAATTATCTTAATAGAATATTGGGGAACTTGAGCGCCTTTTTTCCCACGAAAATATATGGACACTAAGATTCGTGTCCTAGGAAAAAGCAGCATTGAAGTGCGAATCACATTCAGAAGATAAGTTCAACGCTCTCTAGAGTAATTTTAAATAGTAGTTTAAGCGATAACAGAGACGAGTTATAAACTTAGACGTCTTGAGTTTAAATTTTGACAATTTCTTGGAGTCAGGTCATGTGAAATTTATCCTTGATGAATACCCAAATTTCAATGTAATTAACTTTTATTTGACCAAAAAAAAAAGTGATTAATCGAGATGGATCGATACGAAGACTCTCACCGTTGAAAATAGTGAAAAGTCTTCTACCTGAACTCCACGTTGCTTGTGGTGCTGGTAAAGGAATAAGAAGAAGTCATGCTAAAACAAAATGACTTTTCCATTTTTATTAAATGCTAGAATAGTGATCCAATTTTAGGAGCTTTTGTGATACCAAAAACATGTGTCACAGCTGCAAACCAAAAATTGTTATCGGCCCACTTTGTTTTTTTCGATGATCAAATTTTAGGAGCTTTTGTGATACCAAAAACATGTGTCACAGCTACAAACCAAAAATTGTTATCGGCCCACTTTGTTTTTTTCGATGATCAAGGGTATTTGAACCATTAAAGACAAATTTTATATGGCCTGATCTGAAAGAGTTAAAAATATTCGAATTCAGAACATTTGAATTTACAGTTAATTCTTATTCTTATTACCAATTAAATAATCCCACGGAGTTACCGGACCCTACTTTTTTGTTGGCTCTGATTGAGTCACATCTTTTTTTTTTTGGGTTTGATTTGAAATATACATTTGATTTGAAATTTTAATTAAAGTAGAAATATAACAAGAATCAAGAAATCAAGAACGTGGGCTGACAAATCCTTTCCAAATGTTTTTTTATATAATATCTCACAAATTTAAACTCGAATAATAATATTAGAATTTAAAAAATTAATTCAATTTATTGACCTAATAATGTGTCAAGCTTAAAATTATAATAAAAAAATTCAAGAATTACAGTCACTGAAAAATTATTAGATAATGTCACGATCATATTATTAAATCAATTTTTTAGATCCTAATAATATTACTTTAATCTTCAAACTCAATTGGATCAACTTGTATAGAAGTGCTTGGGTCCGTCATTAATATATGGTGGGTGAGAATAAAAGTAAATCCTACTTTGTCCTCACACAAGCTATGGTAGGCGGCAGTTATGATGTGTTTTTAAAGAATAATCTTATACCGATTAAATTTATTGAGTAAATATCTATTTCAAGTAATATGATAATATATTATTTAGACTTTTTATTAAGGGCTAAATGACATGGCACAAAAGCTCAAGTCAACTATCATATTATTTAGGATGGATGTTTGGTCTCAAAATTTAGTCATTCTAAAATTAATGTTCTTTAAATAACCATATGTTCCATTATTTTTCTCATCCACCCCGTCACTTTCTCTCATGAAATTTTCCAGACCCATGAATTCCCCCTACCTTGCAACCCTTTTTGCCATTTTAGTTGCAATCTTTTTCTCCAAAAATGTTTTCCTTGGGGCAGAATCGGCAACTCTAAGCACAGACAGAGAGGCCCTGCTCTCTTTCAAGTCTCGGGTAAGTATGGAACAACCTAATGTTCTATCTTCTTGGGAACCAAACTCCTCCCCTTGCAACTGGACAGGAGTAGTTTGCAACGAACTCGGCCAGAGAGTGGTTGAGCTTGATCTCTCCGACATGGGAATAACTGGTTCCATAAGCCCTCATATAGGCAACCTCTCATTTCTTAGATCACTTCAACTTCAGCATAACCGATTCAAGGGAACACTCCTTGATCAACTTGGCAATCTTTTGCGTCTGAGGATTATGAACACGAGCTCCAACAGCATAGAAGGTGCGATACACCACGAAATATAAGCCGGTGCAAGGAGCTCAGGATCATTGACCTGATGCAGAATGAGATTTCTGGACAAATTCCTGAAGAACACGGCGAGCTCCCAGATTTACAAGTCTTGAACTTTGGAAGAAACCACCTCTGAGGTGCAATTCCACCATCCATAGCCAACCTTTCTTCTCTCACTGTTTTAATTTTGGGCCCCAATACTATAGATGGATTGATACCTAGTGAGCTGTCTCGTCTTCGAAATTTGAAGCAGCTAGATCTCACCATTAACAATCTCACTGGCACTATACCACCATCCATATACAACATGTCTTCACTGGTGAATTTAGCTATGGCGTCCAACGATTTGTGGGGTGATATTCCTAACGATGTTGGAGTTACACTCCCAAACCTTCTAATCTTAAATTTGTGCATCAATAAATTCACTGGTACTATTCCAGGGTCTTTGCACAACCTCACAACGGTACAAGTCATTCGACTGGCAGACAACTTGTTGCACGGGACGGTACCACAAGGACTGGGAAATCTTCCGGACCTTCAAATGTACAACATTGGGTTCAATAAGATCGTTAGCTCCGGTGAAAGTGGTCTCGATTTCATTGCATCTTTGACGAATAGAACCCGTCTCCGCTTCCTTGCAATTGATGGCAATCTTCTAGAGGGTGTAATTCCAGAGTCCATAGGCAATCTTTCCAAGGTTCTCTCAAATTTATACATGGGAGGGAACCATATTCATGGTAGTATACAAGCCTCGATCGGTCTCCTTAGTGGCTTAACTTAGTTAAATTTGAGCTACAACTCAATTTCGGGTCAAATTCCCCAAGAAATAGGCCAATTGGAGAAACTACAGATGTTGGGTTTGGCAGGAAATCGTATCTCCGGCATAATTCCAAGTTCCTTAGGTAATCTCCAAAAGCTGAATGATATTGATCTATCATGGAATGCATTGGTGGGCCGCATACCCACGAGTTTTGTGAATTTTGGGTATTTGATCTCAATGGACTTGTCTCATAACAAGCTCAATGGAAGCATACCCAAGGAAATTCTAAATCTCCCAAGTTTAAGAACCTTCTTCAAACTTTCTAACAATTTCCTATCTGGGCCTCTGCCTCAAGAAGTTCGATTCCTACAAGGGGTTGGCACAATTGACCTCTCTGGCAACCATTTGTCAGGTAACAATCCCATGTCAATTGGTATGTGTAAGAGCTTGGAGAAATTGTTTATGGCCAACAACATGTTCTCAGGTCCTATTCCAGATACTTTAGTAGAAGTGAGAGGCTTGGAAACTCTTGACCTCTCCTCAAACCAACTCTCTGGTTCAGTCCCTCCTGACATACAAAACTTGAATGCCCTGCAACTGTTGAACCTCTCTTTCAACAACCTTGAAGGTGAAATTCCCACTGGTGGGGTTTTCTCAAATATCTCTAGAGTCCATCTGGATGGCAACCCAAAGCTTTGCTTGTATTCGGCATGTGAAAATAGTGGTGGTCGTGGAGTACAATTGATTTTGATTAGTGTTATAATAACAATTGCTGTTATATTAACACTTTGTTTCACTGTTGGTTTGTTGTTCTACATAAGAAAAGGCAAAGCAAAGGCCATGGCATCATTTGACTCCTCCAAGGGGCAACAACACCAAATGGTCTCTTATTATGAACTTCGTCTTGCAACTAAAAATTTCAACCAAGAAAATCAGATTGGACATGGCAGTTTCAGAACTGTTTACAAAGGGTATTTTAGAGAAGGAATCACCATCGCGGTTAAGGTCCTTGACACACAAATAATAGGTTCTCGGAAGAGTTTTTTTGCGGAATGTCTAGCTTTGAGGAACACCAGGCACCGAAATCTTCTTAAACTGATCACCTCATGCTCGAGCTTAGATTTCAAGAATATGGAATTTCTTGCTCTGGTTTACGAGTTCATGAGCAATGGGAGCTTAGATGATTGGATTAAGGGAAAGAGAATGAATGTTGATGGGGGTGGATTAGATATTGTTGATAGAGTGAATGTGGCAACTGATGTTGCAAGTGCCATAAACTATTTGCATCATGAGTGAGTCTCCAGTTGTGCATTGTGATTTGAAGCCAAACAATGTTCTCTTATAGATGAAGACATGGTTGAAAAGGTTGGAGATTTTGGGCTTGCCATGTTGTTGATTGCAGGAATTGACGCTCAATCTTCTATCAGGTCGACGAATGTATTAAAAGGTTCCATAGGCTACATACTTCTAGGTCTGTTGTTTTCTTTTTTAGCTTCAATTTCATGTCAAACTAGTAATCAACTCTAATTCGATTTTTTTGACTAACCGTGTTAGATAATTTAACCTTAACTGTTGTGATCGTGCAGCAATTATGGTGAATAGTAAGGAATCAAACAATTAAGAAAGCAGGAGAAAAATAACACACAGAAATTTACGTGGTTCGGCAATGTGCCTACATCCACGAGAGCGAGCGGCCGTTCTTTTCCATTATAGAATAGAGTTACATCTTAAGTATTTATATAACCCTAATATGAACGTATTTACAAAAATACCCCTGTACCGTACCGCGGGGGCGTTGCCCCCGCACCCCCAACTAATCAGCGTTCCCTTTATTTAAATCCCGCAAGGCAGATACCGTCGCGGGCTCCGCTCCGGCATCTGTCTCCTTGCCATTATGCACACAGCAAATATGAGTCACACATACTCTAACATTAACCTACCTAGTTATTAATCGAGTCTTGTCACACATAACCCATGAAAACAAAACTCTGCAATTAAGACTTTTTTCTTTGTCAACCAAAATTGGCTATTCATAGGTTTTTATCAACTGAAATCTACTAGGTAAAAATGCTTGCTAAACTAAGTAAAAAAAAATTCCATAATCTACAAGGACAGTCGTCAAATACTAGATTAAGGAAAAAAAAAAATTTCTTCAAATTATGCTAACTAAATTTATTTGTTGTGTAAAAATCGAGTTTCTCAAGTTTAACACTAACTTCACTCGTCTATTACTTGTGCTAAGAAGTCGTATTATTTTTAGGTTCAGGTCAAGAATTTGTCAACTATAACAAACTAATTTCATTCTAGATTTGTCTTGTGTTAAAATATTATGTCGAAAATTGTCACTCTTAATTTACATGCTTTTATGTTGAACAATACATGATTTATTGTGCAGCGTATGGTCTTGGGGGGAAACCCTCAACTGTAGGTGATGTGTACAGCTTCGGAATTATGTTGCTAGAGTTTTTTACTGGAAAGAACCCAACCCATGACAGCATTGTAGAAGGATTAAGCTTAACGAAATGGGTAAAACCGGCTTTCCCAACCAACATGGAGCAAGTTCTAGACCCTGAGCCACCTTCAGACATTGAAAACCTTTGTCGTGATGATCAATCCATAAGCTCCGAAATACGACGTGATTATTTGAAAATAATCGTTGATGTCGCGTTATCCTGTACTTTTGATTCTCTGAATGAGCATATAAACTTGAGAGGTGCTTATCATAAGTTGAAATGTGTTAAAGAAGTCCTTCTCAAACCTAATGTTACATAGAAAAACAAGTTTTAAAAGATAGCAGCAAATTTAGTTTTTTGGCTGCTACTTATTGTATGATTGTATGAAGAATGAACAAGGAGAGTATATACTGGATGTTGTGTTGCGAAATGCGGCAGGGGTATGTATGTACTTGAGCAATCAATGTGTAAAACCAAATATCCTGTTGTTATATTAAAATTCTTGTTTTTGAAGATAATTCTGATACTGAATTTTTTTTTTTTTTGGATACCTTATCATCAATTACTAATTTTTGGGGTGTTTTATGAGTCATAAAAAAATCATAACTTTATCCTAATACGCTATAATGTTACACAAAAAAAAATTGTAACTTTTTTAATTGTAATTAAACTCAACAACAATTGTATTTTTACTCACAAAAATTATAAATTTTAATACTGTACCTATTTCACTACCGTAGTCAAATTCCTTTTTGAATTATTGGAATATTCAGCTCTATGGATAAAACACGGTCAAAGGTTCATGGTCCACATGGGTTGGTCCAATTTTTGGTGACCGGCCATCAATCCAATGGGTAAGACCCTGAACCAAGATTTGGCCCGTTAAGGCCCATGAACCACTGTGTAGGTTGCCCATCAAAGACCCACAGGACCAGGCTGACGGATGGGCTGCAAACGCTTATTGCTTTGAATATTTATTTATTGTATTTCTCAAATATGTCAATTAGAATTTAGAAATATGATTTGGCATATGAGAGGCATAAATAAAGATAAAAATAAATGAATCAATTTAATTTTTTTAAAAAAAGCCCTTGAAAAATTTGTTAATCAACTGCAAGAAAAATATGATTTTCAAAATAAAAATTTATTTTTTATATCTTTTTTCAATTTGTAATGGGCTCTATTTAAAATTTCTACCTAAGTCCCCGATTTATATTAAGTCGACCCTGACCTTGGGCAATTCATAATCTGAAAAAGCATGTCAATGTGTACATGGTTCATAATTTCAATAAGTTGAGTTTGATTTTTCATAAAAAAAAAAAAAATCAATTTTTTTCAGCCAAATATGCAATAATTTTTTTTTAAATTTTTTTGTAAGCCGCTTTCAACCTGCTACAAGGATTGGTGACGTGCTCGAAAATTGTTGGGTCTCGTCAATTTTTTAACCCTCCTCGTCACAAAGGTTGGTGACGTACTCGAAAATTGTTGGGTCTCGTCAATTTTTTAACCCTCCTCGTCACAAGGTTAATGGTTGCAAGTAGGCCTGTCAAAATCTGACACGACGCGATTAATTGACACGAATTAAACGAATTTGAGTGATAAACGAATTGATCCGCCAAACATGTTTAATAAACGAATCGTATTCGGGTGAGACATGTCAACCTGTTTATCACCTGTTTATCCGTTTAAATAAAATTAATAAATTAATAAATTAATAATTATTTTAAAAAAATAAATAAGGAAATCAGTTTACAAAAATTAGGAAACCAAAGTTTTGAGCCATTGAGGGGCATTTTATTTGAATCCCACATCGACGCGGGGCAGTGGGGAGGGCAATTTAGTTGCCTATAAAAGGGCCTCCTCCTTTTGGCCAGAATTCCCGCAATTGAGGAAAGTATAGTTGAAAGTAAAAAAAATTGGAGTATAAAAGTTTGTTAAAATAAGTTGTGTTATCTGTTTATTTTTTAAATGGATTAAATGAGTTGTAATGTTATTTGCTTATTAATTGGTTTGTATTTGTGTTAAAAAGTTTTATTTGTTTATTAAATATATTGTGTTATATTCATTAAACGGTTTGTATTTGTGTTAAAAAGTTTTGTTTGTTTATTAAATATATTGTGTATGAGTTTGTATATTTTTTTTTATTTAATTTATTTAATTTGACAAATAATGTTGAATTTAACAAGTAATTGAGTAATCGTTTAACCTAATTGACACTCTAGCTGTAAGAATGAGAAATTCTACGTTGCAAGCTACCATAGAGACTGATACTAAGGTTGAGGACCGCTGGGTTCTTTGATTTTTCGTTCTACACAATCACGAGAAGATTTTCATTGACTTCAAGAAAATGGCGTTCCCTGCTTTTGGATTCTCCCAAAACTACTACGGGGACCAGAGCCTTTAAAATTTATAATCCACTTTCTCGAGGTACACTTCATCATTCTGTGGTCTCAAATCTTAAAAGTATTCCTTGATCTAGCTTTTGAAGGAGCCATCTAAAAAAAGAAAAAATAAATAAAACTAATAAGAAAACATAAGAAATATATGAAAATGTAAAAGTTAAAAAAACAAAAGAAACAAATATCAAATCAAAACAAAAATAAAATAAATTATAGATTGTTGTGACAAATTTACTAAATTCATGAGAAAAAGTCACTAAATTGAATTCTTGAAAAAAAAAAATTTGAAATCAAATTTACAAGAAAACCTCCCTAAAACAAAATTATTAGGAAAAGTCAACCAAAGGTCGACTTCTTAAAAAAATATATTTAAAATAGAGTCACCTAAGATAAAATATTTGGGTCAAAGCCGTGTAGAAAAAATTCCTAAAAAAAATTTGTTCTAAAAAAAAAAAAATGGAAGGACCAAGAAAGTTGAAAATAAATTGAAACAACATTGAAAAAAAAAAAAAAAAAAAAAACTACGGTACGAAATGAGATGCTTAGTTTCAATTGTGAAATGTCAAGAAGACTTACCCAAAAAAAAAATGGTCAAGAAGATAATGATTAAGCACTATGCATTTTAAAACTTTACTTTAAAGAGTATACATAAAACAATAATAATAAATGATGGGACTCTTCTGAAATGTCCTATGATGAAGACACGTGTTCTCGGCGTTGCTAAAACACTGTTACTTTGATCAAACACCATCGGCGAACGAATGTCCTCGCCCCCGAGGTACCGTCATGAAGGATCATGCATTCAGTATATTATAGAACCAAACACGTGTCCTCGGTCACCTATGTAGCTTGGCCGCATACCTCCCTCGGTCCCCGAGATGAGCCTTTCCTCGGTGCCGAGAGTTACACCGTCCTGGACGCTTCCTCTACTCCAAGATAAGCTATTGACGTATAGGTCACTAGCCTAGGCTAGTCTAGGCTGCTCATCATGACCTCGTCTTACACAAGTAATGTCAGAACATACTGGAATGCAGAGGTCACAGCCAAGAGGGGATGGACGCGTGGCAAATAATGTCACATCAGAAACAGACAAACTGCACGCCGTTGCTGACACGCGGCTTGGGAAAGCAAACAATTAATTGCACCCTTCCGTTGATGAGACCGCATTCAATGCGGTAAGGCTTGAAAATGAAAGGCAATAAATGCTCCCATTACAGAGCATTTATTGCATCCTCCCCGAGAGGAGCATATTGTACCGTCGGCATCCCGACGACTCAGCATTGATTGCTCGGGACCCCGAGCAATTAATTAGAGAAGACATTCCTCATCAGAATCAATGCACACGCTACCTATGCCTAATGATCACCTACTGACCACGCTGACAGCAATCATGGGCTTTTAAGGTATAAATATTCCACCCAAAAGGCAAAGCGGGTATGCAACAACAAACTCTTTACTACAATACATTTTTCTCAGTGTTTTCTCCTTCCTCCCTCTCACTCAAAGACTGACTAGACCGTCGGAGGGGATACGCCGGAAAACACTCCGGCGCCCTTCTAACTTGTTCTTCTTTGTTCCAGGAACCCCTTTCATCCTTACAGGACCGTCACTCCTTTCCCAGGGTCTCCCGTTGCCGTTCCGGGTTACCACCGTACCGTGCAGGCTGTCCCAAGCAGCGTGTTTGGTCACTCCACCGCTCACTCGAGTTCACCAGGGGAGAGATCTGTTCCCGTTTTTTATATTGTGCAGGATCTTGCACGCACAATCTGGCGCCGTCTGTGGGAAACGACTAGTTTTCTGAGTTTTCTCTCTATAAAGAACAGTGACCATGGTGAACACTCGACAAAGAGGGAAAGGACCCCACCAAAGGAGTCTCGAGTTACAAGCTCCCTGTCATCACGGAGGGAGGGATCACACCAACACGAATAAAAGTGCCTCTACTCGGTCAAGAGGGGTTACCCCTCAAACCAGTATGGGGATCAGGTCAGGGGGATCAGCCCCCTTGGCTCGTCAGCTGGCGGAGGTGATTGAAGAAAAATTTGGCGATAGATTACGTCAGCTGGAGAAGGACAATGTAAACGTCCTTAGCCGGCTCGACGAGTTTGCCGCCTCAGGCGGAGGGTCGAGGGATTCATTCCTTTCCCGTGGACTTCCCGCCCGGGAGGCGGAAACGAAGGATCTAAGAAACCACCTAGACCACAAAGCAGAAAGCTCTAGGGCCCCAAACGACCCAGAGCCGGCGAACATCATCATGACAACCAGTCCAGAAAAGCAAGGCCATTGGCCCTGGACGACCTCCGACGAGGTTTGTCTAGACGGAGGAAGGAGATGAATCCGAGGAGGACTCAACCCAATCCACACGACGCCCGGGAAATGAGGGGCTTACCAATGAACTCAGGGACTTCAGAAGGCATCCCGTCAGGGAAGAAGTTGATCTCAGAGCCCGATTAGACTCCAGGAGAAAGGGTAAGACTGTCCAGGATGAGGCCGAGGACGAAGTCATGCAAACACCCTTTACGAGGGAAATCAGTGAGATGGAGGTCTCAAGAAAGTTCGTCGTGCCGCGGTTCAAAACCTATGACGGGCGGTCCGACCCCGAAGCCCACGTCAGGCAATATAAGCAGATGATGTCCCTCTATCATTCGGACCAACGGTTTCTATGCCGAGTGTTCCCTATGAGCTTGGGGGACTCTGCGATGAGATGGTTCGAGACGCTTCCTCCAAACAGTATCGGGTCCTGGAAGGAATTGACTAGGCAGTTCCTGACCCGATTCATTACGGGGAGTAAGCGCCCCAAAGACATTGGATCATTGTTGACCCTCAGGCGGGGGGAATCCGAGACTCTTCGCCAGTACGCCATCCGATACTGGGAAGAGGTCAATGAGGTAGAAGGCTGCTCGGAGGTCATGGCAGCAGCATC